TATGTCGTGTGTATAGCAGCGCAGCTTGAGTTGACTGCCTGAACGAGCTTGCAGGCTTCGCTCCATTTCATTACAGAACAGTGATACATAGTAGTAGTAGCTTCCTCAACTGGTAGTTCGCGACCCAAAAGTGGGTCTTGGGGTGTTTGGTTTAAAAAACAAACAAAAAAACCCATGTTGTAGAAAGATGGGGGTTCAATGTGGCAGCATTTAGGCAAAATATAAAAACAAAACTTCCCAGTTGTACATCAGTGTTTCCAGAAAGGAATAGTCCAACCTGTTTATAAATATGTACATACATAAACATCTAATCAGAATTTACCTTCTGCATTTCTCTAGTTGGTTAATATGGATAATAGCAAAAATATCAAATAAATTTAATGAGTACAGAACACATTTTTGTAAGTTCAAATGTAATTCTTCATGCTTGTGTATCTTCAGAGGACACTTTGGGTTGGAGGCTTTAATATAATTGATTGTTGAGTCTCATTCCCAGGGTGCCGAAGCGTCTGTATTTAATGCCCTTGGAATGAGACTCAACAATCAACTATCTTTCTCAGTCCTGGAGGATTATTTCAAATACCATTAGGAGCACTGGGAGGAGCCAGAGGAACCAGATTGTTTCACAGATTATCTGTCTCATGTTCTACTGTCAGGATATGGATATGTGAAAGTTTCCGCATATATTACAAAAAGTTATTTTTATAAAAGTTACCTACTGCAGCTTTAAAGGGTGGAAGAAAGAAAAGAAAAAAGAAAACAAGAAATTCATAACTCTGGGAAGGGTCCTGCCTTATAAAAATTGAAATACAGCTCCATTTATTGTTGTATAGTCCCTACATAACGAGTGTAACAACTCACTCACTCACTTAGACTCAGCTTTTATTCAAATCAAACTAACAGTCACTAATCTTTGCAGCCTCATGGGGGCAACTTTGAGAAATAACCATCCCCCGCTTCAGGAGAACTGTACACACACAAGCTTGATGCAAACATGTGCACAGCGTGGATCTCCATGGCAACATGCAAGGAGGGGTCATTGCTTCACTTTTCTAGCTCGTAAGGAATACGACGATTGATATGTAGAGTGACAATGAGATATACTTCCCTCAAAAAACAGGAAGCTCACCAGCATACTGCTGCGACTGCCAGGATTAAGGTAAGGTAATTAGATTAAGATTATTTTATTTACTGTTTTCCAGTATTGGAGGAATTTGATTGGAAGGTGCAACACCTCAGGTTTTTATTTGCTCACAGTGTAAAATGAGCAGAGTGTATCTGCGGGCGCTGTAAAGGTTTGTTGATCAATACTTGGCTGTGCTGAGGTTTCTGTCCTTCCAATCTAACTCTGTAACCCATACTGTTTTGGAAGAAAAACTCCCAACCCACTGAAGTTTGGAGAAAGCTCCCATCTGTCATTACATCTCTGTAAGATAAAAATCTTGAGCCAAAGCCAAAACAAGCAAAGGACAAAGCTGTATGACTGCGGCAGCGCTTGGCATGGTGATATTTTTACTACTGAGACTGCTGCCTGTCTGCTCTAATTAGCTCACTTCCATGTGTCTGTGGTGAAATGTTGAATGGTTCCATTCGATCCCATTGTCAGTGGAGTGGAGAGCTGGTCTTAGGTCAGCAACTGAGCTCAGGTCAGGTCTCAGCTGCGAGGGCCCAGGGTCTCTCAAGTGTTAAATTAGGTTGTGGATCAGTGACTGGTGTCAAAGACAGTAACGTGCACCATCACTGACAACATGTCACTGCTTAATAACGGAACTGTCTATAAATCAGGCAGGGTCATCATCATCGTCAGCCAATGAGAAAAGGAGCCTGCAGTCAACTGGTACCCAGTTGTCACTGCCCAAGACCAGACTGTATCAGTGATAGATCGGTATGTCTCTCGTGCACAGTGTTAGCCTTCAGAGAGAGATCTAGTGCTGCTCACCTCTCATACATGATATGATACCGTTTGATTGATTTGGTATTTATTGCAAACTTGATCAATACTCAACTTGTTGTTCATGGGAAACATCAGCCAGAATTGATTCCAATGTAACATTTCAGAAGCATTTTTTTCTACAACCTGGGTTTTATTGTTATATTATATTATATTATATATATGTTTTTTGCACTGCTCAAACTCGAAAAAAATTGGGCCTCATGCAGGAAGCGATATACAAACACATTTTCTCTTGCTTTTAAGGTTTTCTTATTTTAGCTCTTCTCTTGTCATGTTAATTCATTAGTTATTCAGTATGTTTATTTTTCTTTTGCTATCTATCTATCTATCTATCTATCTATCTATCTATCTATCTATCTATCTATCTATCTATCTATCTATCTATCTATCTTCTATCTATCTATCGCCTTTTCTGGTGTTATCTCTCCAATTCTTGGCTTGGAGTGTTTGCACACAGTACACCACCTGCCCTTATCTGCCTGTTATCTATGCTAATAACGAACAGCCACATGCCTCCAATTTGAGATCTGCTGGGATGCTTCGGATCCCAAAACATCAAACCACCCACCCAAAGCATTAATAATGAACAACCTGGGAATGACAATCAGCAATCAGCTGTGTTTCTTGGCTCTGTGAATATAGCTTGTGTCCACTGTCTTTACTGTATATCTTAAATAATTATCTAAACTTTAAAAATAACAATATCATTTAGTTTTCTTAACAGAAATGAATGAAATGCTGACAATTAGGCCTACTGTATATATTTGAAGTTGTCTTACATGCCTTTGTGAGCCATCTTTAAAGTTTTTTGTTGGAGTGCCACAGATAGGGTGGGGAGGTCAGAAAGTATTGAAAGGTGGATGAATGTATTGTGGATTTTGGTGTTTTCATGGAACCTCTTGATAATTACGAAAATGAACAACATTGCAAGTCTCATTCTTAAAGGTTGGATAGTATGTATGGGTATGTCCATGTTACTCAAAGTTACAGGTACAGTGTGGCTTTTTTAAAAACAATAAATACTAACATATACATTTGACATAAACTGAGTCAAGCCCAAGTGTGGAAATCACTGCATGGCTCATTCCATACTGTGCTAGTCTCTGTGAATGAAGGATTAGATGGACAAGACAGTCCTGCATGCTGGTTTTGCTGTCAGAATTTGAATAGTCTGTGCGTGAAAGGCCCAACCCCCCACGGCAGTTGGAAAGGTAAAACTCCCTTTTTTGTTGGCATGAAGAATTCATTTTCTAATAGGCTCCACATCGTGTAATATTGATGGATCTGCTGACCCAGTTTGAGAGTCCTCTATCCCAGTGGCAAACAGCAGGGTTAAGGCAGCACGAATGCCTCGGAGCTAGCCTCAGGCTGGAGGAGAGAGGGGGCAAGGCCACCTGCCTGTCTGATCCAGGACCATAGCTGGATGAGGGAGATGGAAAATACTTGACAAAAATGATGACGGCAGTTTGCGTACCATTACCTGCATCATAAAGACAGAGTATGGCTTAAAAACTCCTCTATTCTCTCTGCATCCAGTATTTATAACACGAGACTACTGCGATGACATTTGTCTCTCAGCAATCCTCTTCAAACACGTCTTTACTGCAGACTGAAGCCTCTATGGCCAAACAAACTTTCAGCCCATCAGTGTCACAATGAGGCAAATGATGCAAACTGTAAAGAGTGTTGAATGGCAAGGACTTCACAGCAGAGCCATTTCTGAAGACTTCAGAATAGAACAAAGGACTGAAGCTCACTGTTTGATTTGCAGTCTTTAATAGTGCAAACAGACTTACATTACAATAGAGTCAAAATGCTTAAAGACAAGAGGCAAATAAATACACAGTCAACCGATAATAGGTGTCACTTCCACAAGTGCCACACCCAATGCACTATAATCATAAAAGAGCCCAGATAGATTTCTGTAGATGTTTTGGCATTTGGCACAAGACACATGGGGAGAGAGAAAGAATGGTTTTACATGAAACAATCAGCAGCAGTAATAGTATTCAGTCCCTCCAGGATTGTTTCCCAGCAACTTTGCTAAAGAATTATGATGCATTTAACAATTTTTCTGCCACTTTTCTTGTGACTCACTGTTTTGCATGGGGGGCTGCTATTATTGATGATTATGATTTAATCGGCAGAAAAATTGCAGGGTTGTGCAGAATTCACTGGGTTTGGGTGTTAATTGTTGCGATTGCAACATTGCAACTTCCTGCAGGGATTGAGCATTACAGTCATATGGCGTACATCTGAACCACATGGGCCTCTAGATATGTCTTACAGTTACATAAAACTATGCACTGACAAGTTCAATTCTCCATTCAGGCCAAAAGGCTCAACTATTTACAGTTTACTAACTTAATGTAATGTAAATAACCTAATAAACCTTTAAAGCTGCATTAGGTAACATTTATAAACGTAACTTTTTGTCATATTTGCTGAAACGTTTCCTGACAGTATTACATGAGAGATGTGTGACGAATGAAATGAATAAAGACGCTTTGGGACCCTGCCACCAACCCAAAGCTAGCTTTCTATTTTTCTCAGCTCTGATTGATCCTCTCTTCCTCTCTCTCTCTTTCTGCACACATTCATGTCCCATTAATGCATGTTACTAACTTCACTTCTTCCCCGGAGTTCTTGTGCTTTCTCGTCTCGCAGGTTCTCATGGATCCTGGTGGAGCCTCCTGCTGTGGTCCTGCCTGACTGCCATTGCTAATATCACTGATATTAATGTTATTATTATTATTATTAATATTATTATTACTACAGTTACTATTATTACTATTGTCACTGCTCATTGTCCCCCATCGTTGCTGTTGTCGTCGTCATCATCTTCTTCATGTTCATCATCATCAGTCACTACTATTAGTGTAGTTGTTGCTACTGTTGTTGCTGACCACCCACCTAGAGCCGAAGGATCTGTCCTAGGTTTCTGCCTCTTAAAAGGCAGTTTTTCTTTGCCCCCGTCGCCAAGTGCTTGCTCATGGTGGTACTGTTGGGTCTCTGTAAATAATGTTATAAGGAGTTCGGTCTAGACCTGCTCTATTTGAAAAGTGTCCTGAGATAACTTCTGTTATGAATTGGCGCTATACAAATAAAACTGAATTGAAAATTGAATTGAATGGTTGTTTTTGTTCAGGCCCGGTGGATTCTTGCTAATGCCATTAGGATCACTAGGAGGAGCCAGAGGATTTTTTTTCACAGATTATCTGTCTAAGTTACCTACTACACCTTTAATGACGCTGCAGAGCCATGGTTTGCTTGTGCATAATGTTGTACAATAGCAGCATCCATGTGTGTATTACAGTTTTAAATATAATCATCTTAAAAGCCTTCTTTTGTCCAATGTATCACAGGTCATTTACAGAATGTCCTGATGGAAAGATTGTTAAGTAGCGAACCGCTAACAGGAGTTAGCTCGGGCAGCCGTGCAGCTTACTTAACTGACTCAGCCTCAGGATGCCATTAAATAAACCGGCAAGAAAACCACCTCAGTGCTGTATTCCTTGTGAAACTGGCACAGTTGGTCTTAGAGATTCTAAACTGCGGTCTAAACACTGCCAGTTTAACAGACAATACAGTGGCTTATTGGTACCCCAAAGTATTTAGCTCTCCTATTTTCTTTGAGTCGTGATATTAGAGTGAGAGGAGGTCTTTCTCTGCCAGTATCTGTGCAGTCAGATGAAAGAACAGGGGACAAATCTTTGAAAAATGTGCTAATGAGACTTTCCTGTCAAGTAGAACTGCATCTGAAGCTTCCGAGGTTGTCTTCTATCTCTTGAGGTGTTGTCACCTCTATAATGTCTCCTGTCCTGGTCTAAATTAGGAGATAACTACTGTTACTTTGCAACATTTATGCACTGGTTCAGTTAGCTTTAATGTCAGACAGGAGAAAGTCTAGTCAGTTTGAGTTTATTACACTTCCCTCACTCGTCTGAAGTTTGGTCGAGGAAACAATGTTGCAGAAGTGGCCAGAAGTACCCCTCTGCCTACCCCCACAGACCTGGGTACTACAGCGTTTGCCATTGAAATAAACTGAAAGAAGCCACGATCACATAAAAGTCCCCTTCCACTCAAAAATCTGTGTTTCTTATGTCGGATGTTTGATCCTCACTGTGCAGAACGCTGTCTGTGCAGAGTTTGACACTGAAAGGATGTTTTCACATTCATCTGTTAAAGTGGAAAGTTTCTTTGTACTCAGTGAAAATTAGATTTTAAGGTTGTGGGGCCTACCTACAGTGGCCGACAAGGGCAAACGCGCTGCAAACGGCAAAACGCTGCAAACACGGGAATAATACAAATCCAAAAACACACAAACACATAAAACAAATCCAACAGAAAAATGCTGCAATCATAGAAACGAAGCAGAAGCAAAAACTTACAAACCCACAGGGGCGGCTGTGGCTCAGAGGCAGAGCGGGTCGTTCCTAAATCGGAAGGTTGTGGGTTCGATCCCCAGCCCCTGGTGCCACATGTCGAAGTATCCTTGAGCAAGATACTGAATCCCAAATTGCTCCTGATGCCGTGCATCGGTGTGTGAATGTGTATAAATGAGTTAGTTTCTGTTCGATGGACTTTGCCATCACTGTGTGAAAGGGTGAATGTGACACGTAGTGTAAAAGCGCTTTGAGTGGTCGGAAGACTAGAAAGGCACTATACAAGTACAGGTCCATTTACCATTTGCCAAAGAAAAATGCTGCAAATACCAAAACCCCAAAAGATAGAAAGATAGAAATGCTGCAAATTCACTCAACAAAACGGAAGTGCGCCAGGCCTGAGGGATGGACCAGTCCTGTGGGACCAGACCCGAAAGACATGAAGAAGAAGAAGAAGAAGAAGAATAAGAAGAAAGTTGGTTAAGTTTTGGAGAGGGGAGTAAAAAGGTAGGTTTTCCTTTATGTCTTTTTAAACACTTATAATATAATAATTATATTATTTAATACTATTTAATATTATTTAATACTATTTAATATTATTTAATATTATAGAAGAATATTATAATTATAATATTATTATAATATTCTTCTATAATATTATATTATTATACAAATATAATATAATTATAATATTATAAAAGATTACGGCCAAGTGTTTAAAAAAGACATAAAGGAACACGTAACTTTTTACTCTCCTCTCAAAAAATTTGCAGCATTTCTCTCTTGGAGTTGTTTTGGGGTTTTGTGTGTTTTTGGTATTTGCAGCATTTTTCTTTGGCATTTGTTTTGTGGGTTTGTAAGTTTTTGCTTCTGCTTCGCTTCTGTGATTGCAGCATTTTTCTGTTGCTGCGTTTTTCTGTTACATTTGTTTTATGTGTTTTTGGATTTGCATAATTCCCGTGTTTGCAGCGTTTTGCCGTTTGCGGCGCGTTTGCCCTTGTCGGCCACCGTACCTACCAGCATGATTTGTGACATCACAAATAGTTTGGTCAACCCTAACTATCAACTATCAATCCTGGTCCAATATGCAACTTGTATGATGTAGAAACTTGAAGCCACCAGTGCACATCCACTGAGAATGGACTTTACAGTGAAGTAGGAGACATCTTGTGTCCAGCAGGAAAACTCTAGAAATGAACAACATTTGCATATTCAGAGATAGAGGTAGTTGTTTGATTGGTTTAATTCAAAATCCATCTAGAACGGACTATGATGTGGTAACTGGTAACCATGGTTACCAGGCAGTAAATGGTCTGTACTTGTATAGCTCCTTTCTAGTCTCCTACACTACATCCCAGATTCATCCATCCACAGCATCGGGAGCAATTTGTGGTTCAGTATCTTGCTCAAGGATACTTAGAAATGCAGCAGGAGAAGCTGGGGATCGAACCACCAACCATCTAATTAGTGGATGACCCACTACCTCTGAGCCATAGCCGCCCTTCGGTCAATCAATGTCACTTGCAATCGTACTGGTTTCCAAATCTCATCTCATTGGCAATGGCAAAAGCATTTGTGTTTTTCTCACTCGGTCTTGACTCTGTCTCTCTCATTTGGACTCAGCTTTGGACTTGTCTCGGACTTGACAAAGGTTGTCTTGACTACAGCACTGATATTAATATATAATAATACATTGTGCATAGTTACACATGTTTTGTTTTAAATGCATACATCCTGACTACTAAGAGTTTAGATTGTCCCACTTACAATGCTTACAATGCACCTTGGGCATGGTAAATGGACCTGTACTTGTATAGCAACTTTCTAGTCTTCCCACCACTCGCCCTTTCACACACATTCACTCAGTGATGGCAAAGCCCATCAAACAGAAACTAACTCATTCATACATTCATACACATTCACACAGCGATGCACGGCATCGGGAGCAATTCGGGGTTCAGTATCTTGCTCAAGGATACTTCGACATGTGGCACCAGGAGCTGGGGAAAAAGATCTCAAGTTAGACACAGTTATATCCAATGATGAATTTAAGAATGTGGTGACGGAGGCATATGGCTATTCTTCTTAAGAGGCCATTGTGTTTGAATAGTTTATTGTGGATTAGTTTAAACGATTAATATGCAATGTATTAAATACAGGATTTTTTCCCCCTTATTTGCTCATTTTCCGAAACATATTTAAACCTTTGAGCATTTACCAACTATTGAAGCAAGTAGTACAAATGCTTTGCAAAAGGACATTTACTGCAGCACTATTTCACTTTTAAAAATCTAAATTTGGCAGCGCTAAACACAACCCAGCTGTAAAGTGTGTTTACAGGCTCCAGATAGGACATTTTATCATACTGTACCACAGTTTTACTGATGGCAGCTGGCAACAAGCTAGTTTGCTCACAGCTTTGATGCTGCTATCAAAAGTTTTGATAATAATGTGAAATGTGTCTTTCACCTAATCTGGAACATAAAACCTCCAGCAGTTCAGTAATGGAGAGACGGCTGTCTGTAAATGAGCCTCATTCCCACCAACAGCAGACAAATCCTCCTCATATCTGTCAAAGTGCTGACAGCCCAACGGCTGCCAGAGCTTCTCCTGAACTCAGAGCGGTGTCGCTTGTGACTTACCTCTCTGTCTGGGTGACTAAGCAGTTCATTTTCACCCTCGTCCTTGGTGTGCCTTCACAGATTTCCAGTACGGTGAACTGAGCTGCGTAAGCTGCACGCCATAAGTGCCGTTCGGTGTTAATTGTTATGCCAACGGTCGCTCTGTGTGACGCTCGTCTAAATTGCAGAGAAATGCAATTAACATGGACCAGCGGGACATTAAAAGCCATATTTGTCACTGTCAGGATCTGAGCAGGCGTCTGATTGCACAGCTGATTGGAGAAGATGGCACCCTCCTCCCCCAACCCTGTCTTCCTCCTCCGTCCCTCTGCTCTAGAGGAAGAGGGAAGAACAGAGGGAGCACGGTGTGAAATATCTATGGTGTGGTATCTTAACTGGTAACAGAAAGTTGGGAGCTCCAGCTATGAGTATTATGACAGCTTGTCTATCAGCTGCACCAGAGAGAAGTTCTCACATTGAGAGTCAATCAGTCTTCATGTCCAACTGTTACGTCTGACATCTACAGCAGACAAACACTGACAAGGCATATCAGCACGAGGATGCCTCAAAATGTTTATTTCAATTATTTCATGTTTCATCTCCGCGCTCTCGTTGGGTACTGCAGCACTGCACTTCATGTAAATCACTCAGTCAAACAGTGATGGCTGTGACACAGCTGCAACTTTCTGTTGATGGAACTCAAGTTGGACAATCGACCATGCAGGGCAACCAGCAGGGTTATTGCTGATCAAACCCAGAACTCAGTTTCTGTTTGTAAAAACACACTCTGCATGTTTTCATTAACTGTATCAGTTATGTGTGTAGATTGGGATTACAACATAATTCTTCAAATTATTCTGATGGCAGAGGTTAAGTATGATTTTAGTTTGTAGATACAAATTTACAATTCTAGGCAATGTGTTGCTATCAGACCATTCATCTTAGTGTCTCTCAGTGTGTTCAGGTGGTGAGGTCACTCACAGTATATAATCGGTTGCCAGAGCTCCTGGATCTGTGAAGTGTCTTAAACTTGCATTCTTTCTAATGACCAGCAGGGGGCAGCTCCATCGGCTGCAAAAAATAAGTCGGATAGACCTGAATCTTACGGAGAAGTGAGCCT